TTCAAAAACTTGTCAGCATTGCCATCAGAGAGTCCCTGTGCTGTTCATGTGAGGGTGTCCCTGATGGAGTGATCAAGTTCTGGCCTCCTGGGGGCAGGGAAGAGGGTCCGTTCGGGGGGGCCTGGTGTCATGATTTGACCCTGACCCCTTCTTTGCTGTTACACCTACAGGCTATTACCGCCCTAGTCCCACAGCTGAGTACACTGAGGACAGTCCTGGTGGGGATTTTGACTTTTTCTCACGCCTGGTGAGCTCCTGGGAGGCTGCAGCTCTCATACCTGGGAGCCCCACTCGTGGTGTTGTGGTGAGATCTGGTGAGATGGGGCATCATGCCTGTTCAAGGGGGCTCTGCTTTGCTGCTGGGGCAGGAGCGGGAAGAGGAGGGAGAAGGACATCAGGTCTTGTGCCTCTCCTTGTTGGGATGCTGTTCTAGGCCAGCCCTCTAAGGGTTGTCGCCTGATTCCAGGCCGGGGTGAAGGGATCTTTTGTCCTTTGGTGTGGGGTCCTGGTCTCACTCTGTTCTCCCCACAGGGGTAGTGCTCGGCCGAGGTGGTGGTGCAGTCTCTCAAATGCTCTGGCCTTTCCGTCTGGGACTAGGAGGCCCCTTGGGCTCTGGGCTCCAGCCCTTCCCATGGATCCACATTCGGGACCTGGCTGGGATTGTGTGTCATGCCCTGGAGAGCGAGTGCGTGCAAGGCATCCTCAACGGTGTCTCCCCATCCTCCCCTGCCACCTCTAATGGCACCTTTGCTCAGGAGCTTGCTGCAGCCCTAGGGCGCCCAGCCCTACTGCCAGTGCCCACTTGGGCTGTGCAGGCTGTCTTTGGGGCAGAGCGGGCCATCATGCTGTTGGAGGGCCAGAGGGTGGTGCCAAAACACACCCTGCAGAGTGGCTACCATTTCATCTTCCCTGACCTGTCTGGAGCTCTGAAGGACATTGTGGCTTGAGGACTCTTTGGTTGGGCTGGGTTGGGCCCTGGTTTGTGAGCTCCCTTCCCCTGCATGAAAGGGGAAGCCCTGCCCCTTGTTGACACTTCCCCATCCAGAGAGGGTGAGCAACCTTTACCTCTTCGACCTCCCTTCATGCATCCCCAGTTTAGGAGTCTTCCCTCTTATTGCCATCTGCAGTCTGCACATTACCTGCTTTTGGGGAAGGGCACAAGCCCCTCTAAGGGTTGTGGCTGCTGAATCTGCCGGTTTCCCTTTCCCACAGTGTGCACGTGAGCTGCTGGCAGAGCAGCCAGGGGGTGTAACGTCTCCCCTGAGAGACAGGGATGGCAGCAGGAAAGAGGTGTTCAGGTGTTGTAATTCTCCTCCACATTACTGGAAGTCCCTCTTCCTGTTTTTCCCTGTGTCTTTCCTTCATAGTCACGTAGAGACCTAGTTATGCTCTTCTGCTTTGCCTTTCTCAGTCTCATAGGGAATGGAGTTGTGGTTGTGGGAGAAGATCCATCCTGAGGGGGTGTAAAGGGTGCTGGATATGGATGGCTTGGAGACTTTTCCATCTCGTTTCTTGTGGTGGCTCTGTGCTCGTACCAAGCTGCTGTGTCAGAACCTCCAGCTGAGTCTGAGCTCGAGAGTCGCACCCTTCTAGGGTTGCCTAACCCTGGTGGCATGGCGGGGGAGGATGAGAACACTGCTTTGCCAGCCTGTAGAGTCAAGGGCAGCAGTGAGACTGTTGCTCCTGAACTGCTCTTGTGGCCTTGGGTAAGTGTCAACTACATCTGAGCTTGTGCTGGGGAGAAACTGGGTAGTTCATCTTGGTGTGAAGTAGTGCGAGGCACTGCTGTAGTCTGAAGGGAGCACTTCAGCTGTTGGCTCTGTTGTCGTTAATACCAGGCAGGGCAGTTTTCCCTTATTCATCCCACGAGTTCAGGAGGTTCCCACAGATTGGGCAGTGAGAATATCTAGGCTGCCTGGGCTGCCTTGAGAAGCAGCACCTGTTCTTTTGTGGAGAACATTGCAATTTCATCACCTCATACTGTGAGGAAATGTATCCCCATGCTTCCTGTAACCTATTTTCATGTGCCAAGGGGGGTTGTGGGATGTGGGATGTGAAATGTACAGAGCAGCTAAGTTCATTATAGCAGTACTGCTGGAGAAATATTCCTAGTGTGATGTAATTTTGGGTTAGAAAAATATATTAAAAAGCACTTGAGGCAGTTAAAAAGACCTGCTGCGTTCTTGAAATAAAGAACCATCCAAAAACAGTCCACATATCTCTGGTTTATGCCAGGTTAATGCAGTCACAGTAGCTGAAGGGTCAGCCTTGGTGGAGTGTAGACTCCCCACCCACTCACCTGCCTCTTTGCTCAGTCCCTACTGGAGACAGAATGACAATCTGCTGACTTTCTGGGCAGGAAATTTTGACTGGGGCTGTCCAGCTGGAACTGGAGACAGTCCCTGCAGTCAGTGTGAGCACAGCCAGGTAAGCTGGGACTTTGGGAATAGCTATGAAAGTAACATCGCTGGAGATAAATGTGGCTTACTTGGGTTGTGCCTGTGCTGCATGTAAGTTAGGGGCAGGTCCCTTCCTCTTCCCATGTGCCTCCGTTTCCTGCGCTCAAGAGCAGGCTGACCTACGCTGAGTTACAGGCCCCGTTCATGGTGGGGCAGTACAATGCGGACAATTGATCATCAGTGCTTTGTCTTCAGTCACTCCAGCTACCGTTTCAGAGCATTGGACTTCAGGCTGCTTCCCCAGGCATTGTGGGCTACAGCATCCTGCTGTCAGGCAGGCTGGTTAGCCAGCCCAGTTAGGTTGTTTCTGTACCTTCACATACCTTGATGATTGCAACAGCTTTGGATAGCAATTGGAAATAAAGTATGGCTGGAGGAGCAGCTTTTCTGAAAGAGGGTTGCGTATCCTGTGAAAGACTGACACTAAGCTGTTCCCACGCTTTGGGCTCCCTGCCTGGATGTGTAACTCACTCAGGATTTTGAAGGGTTGCCTCTGCACGATGTTTGTCTTAAACATGTCACAGGACTTAAATGAGGCCCAAGTCCCAGTATGGGGTCTGAAATCACTGACTGCTGGGTGCGATGAGGACTTGCCATCATGATAAATTCACACACACCCCTTGCCCCTCTGCCTACTGTGGAGCCAGAAAACACGCACATTAGGGTGACAGCAAGCTGACATCTAGGCTGGATTTTGTCCAGTGTCTATTTTTGATGGCCACAAGGAAACCCTGGCCCCCAGGCTGTGAGACTTTGTGGTCCTAAATACAGGTCTTGTGCTCTCCCAGCACTGGCACAGCCAGCCTGTCATGCTCAGTGCTAGCAGAGTGTTCCTGCAAGCCTGCCTGAGCCAGCTGCAGTGCCCCAGATGCGCTCTGGAGACTTACTCTTGCCTGGGGCAAGTCTCTCTGTTCTTTTAGAAGTGACTGTGATTGTTAAGACCTGTCAGGAGTGGCTGCTGCCTCCAGCAGCCCTGGCTCAGGACCCTCCTGCCTGGCTGCTGGCCTCCCAGCCCAGTGCTCAGGTACCTGAGGCCTCTGCCCAAGCTGGGGGATGCAGCTGCTGTTTTCCTGGCTGCAGGTTCAGTCAGCCCTGAAGCTGAGCACCCATCGGAAGCACGAGCACACACAGATGGGCGATGCTGATGTGGATGGGCATGCAGACTGCCCTGCCAAGATGCTGCTGTTGGCAGTACCCACACATGAGACCTGTGTAGCACAAGCACAGCCACCCACGTCCCTTCCTGCTCTGGGGCTGTCAGGCTGACATGACACCTTCAAGCACACAAGCATACGCATGCAAGAGTTCCTCAAGCATCAGCATGACCCCTCTGTCCGCTCTGCACCTCTACCTGGAACCCATCCCTCTGACCAATTCCATGGGTCCCCTGGTCACCCACTGCTCCAGCTTGATGCACGAAACGTGCAGCCCTCACTCATCCCAAAGGCACCCCACACTCCCAGGTACCCCCCAGGTACCAGCATGGACCTCTTGCCTGCCTGATACCCCTGCTGGATACATGTGCACATGCCATGCACACCTGGTTTGTGGGGTATACGGACACTCGCCCCCCAGCAGCCAGCACGCAGACTGCGAGTGCTGTCCTGATCCAGCTGCTGGCATGGAGCCGCTCACCCTCCCCAGCCATGCTGGTCCCCCAGTAACTGGTTTTGTGGATGTGCAGCGTTACTGCCACGGTGGCCGTGGGGTGAGGCCTCGCTGGCTCCAGTAGCCAACACCAGTGGTCAGAGGCTCCCACAATCCCAATCTGACTTCAGTAGCTGGCACCAAAACCGCTCATGCCAATCCCCCAGTAGCTGGCACCTGGCCCTGGCAGCACACATACACCTGGGGTAGAGTGAGATTATGCAGAGAGTGTTACAAAAAGCTTTAGTAAGAAGACAGGGCAGACTGCGGTGGTCAAGCAGGCTGGCCCAGGTTTACACCCAACAAGTCTTGTTTATGCTCCTTTTCTGTCTGCCCCCTCTCTGTTGCTCCCAGCTCCCCCTCCCCTGCACATCCCCTCCACAGCTGGCACTGGCCCACAGACTCCGTCCAACATCCTGGACGCTCTGGTGTGCATCCTTACCAGTTGCAATGTCCTGGTTGCCCATAGCTTCTTGAGAGCTCATTGATTAGTTTGGCCTTTGTTTCTGGGTATTGTCTTTGTTAATGCTAATTGGTCATGTTTTATGACTCTGTGTGTTTGTCTCCCTCCCTTTCCTCATCTTGCCAACTGTAAAAAGAAATGTTCTCAGCTGCACTCGCCTCACTCCCATAGGGCCTGAATGGGCCCTGCTGTGTGGGGCACAGACTGGGGCAGAAGCCTTACTCCTCCAGGCATTAACCCTGGGGGCTGGGAGTGTGCGAGGGCTGTGGTTACTGCCACCCCGATGGAGGCAACTGACATGACCGTACTGAGGCACTTCAGATCAGCAACACCACTGTAAGTTTGCACAGGCAAGTCCATTTGTTGGGCTTTGAGAGCAGCACCTCTCCAGGCACCAGGCCATGGGATGTCTGTGGCCAGGCAAATCCTGCAGTTCTGGTCTCATTCCAGCGGGGCTGAGTGATCTGCACTGGTCACCTGCTCTGTGCTCTGTTAGCTCTATGCTGAGTTGTGTTGCAGTTTCAAAGGCAGCTGAGCTTAATTCTTAGTTTTTGGAACCAGTCATGGTTCTTCACCATTTGTAATGTCCACATTTCACATCCTTTCACAAACTGTAAGACATTCCCATTTTCCTAATTAAGGTTGGCATTTCCCATCCTGTACCCCTTTGTTTCCAGTGAACCATGGCTCAGACTTGACTGGGACAATTTGGTGAGATTTTAGGGGCATGTTGTCACTACCACTCTGTCCCTGTCCTGCTGGGACAGAGTTAGTTTTCTCCCTAGTAGCTGGCACAGCGCTGTGGTTTGGGTTTAGTATGGGAAGAGTGTTGATAACTCACTGAGGGTTCAGTAGGTGCTGAGCAGGGCTTACACCAGGCAAGGACTTTTCAGCTTCCCCTGCTCTGCCAGGGGCACAAGGAGCTGTGAGGGGGCACAGCCAGGACAGCTGAGCCCAACTGGCCCAAGGGCTATTGCAGACCATATGACGTCTTGTTCAGTATATAAGCTGGGGGGAGCTGGCTGGGGGGCAGCAATCGGTCAGCGGGTGGTGAGCAATCACATTGTGCATCACTTGGTTTGTGTATTCTGTACATTCTCTTACCATTATTTTTATTGTTATTCTTTTCCTCTGCTGTTTTATTAAACTGTCTTTATCTCAACCCACGAGTTTTACCTCTTTTTTTCCAATTCTCTCCCCCATCCCACTGAGGGAGTGGGCAGTGAGCGAGCGGCTGGGTGGTGTTCAGCTGCCCCTGGGTTAAACCACAACATGTCTACATGGCTACAGTTAAGTGAAATTAATTCCCTTGTGTATTTATACATTATTACTTAATGTGCAATATACATTATATAGTCTCTATATACACATGTTACTTAAAACCCTTTGTAATCTTAACAAAAAAATAAATTCAACACAGACTTTTAAAAGGTCAGTGTTAGAAACTGAATTAAAGCAGCACCATAATCCAACAATGCTAAAAATTCATTTTGTGATTCTATAGTGAAGCATCAAATACTGCACCAGCAACACATCAAGCGATTAATTTAGCTCTTTTCTAGAGTTTCTGAGGCTTCCTTTAAGATGGAGGGAATTCAGCAGAGCCAGCCCTGTCTGCATGGTTAACCAAAACGCAGGGTGAGAAGTGCAGGTGGCAGGACAACATACAGCATGGGAATCCCACCGTCACGGTCATGTACCTGAGCCACCCAGTGTGGAAGTCCTGCCCATCTGCTGATTGCACGTCTGGGTAACCCTGCTGCTGATTTTGATGCTGTTGTACCCCATATGATTTTTGAATAATGCAAATTGGTTGCTTATTTTCTTAGGGCCAGGATATACTTATATATACATACGCACGCATGTGCACGTACATATACATTCAAATCCGTGTTCAAATATGTTTACACATGTATATTTAAAAATAGATGTATGTATTCATAAAAGGGTATGAATAATATAATTGTTTAGAATAGATAAAGAATTGTGCTGGGTTTGGCTGGGATAGAGTTAATTTTCTTCACAACAGCTAGTACGGGGTTGTGCTTTGGATTTGTGCTGGAAACAGGTATGTTTTAGTTACTGCTGAGCAGGGCTCACACAGAGACAAGGCCTCTTCGCTTCTCACCCCACCCCAGCAGCGAGTGGGCTGGGGCAGGGCACAAGAAGTTGGGATGGGACACGGCCGGGACAGCTCACCCCAACTGAACCAAGGGATATTCCAGACCATATTATTACTGTTTAGCTATTAATCAGCAGGCTCCTGTGCTTGCCATGGGGCTCGCTTGCCTTACTGTATAGTATTCCAGTGCTCGTTAGTGGCTGCTTTCTGCCAGGGTGTTGCTGCTGTTCCTGAGCTGCTGTCCTGGACAGTCTGGAACTCCCATGTGAACTGGAATCGAAGGGGCCGTGACCTGTGGATGAGTCCACATGGGAGCAGGGCACACCAGAGCATCTGTGGCCATGGATAAGCCCATGCCAGAGCAGGTACGTCTTGAAGTGCCTGTGGCTGTGGTTACATCTGTGCCACAACAGGTATACTGGATTGTGGCCCAAGGATAAGTCCACACTGGAGAAGGTCCACCTCAAAGCATCTGTAGCTGTGGATGAGTCCATGCTGCAGCAGGTACAGCTTAAGACATCAGTGGCTGTGCATGAGGTCATGCTGGAGCACCTCAGAGCATATGGCCATGGATAAGACCGTGACAGAGCAGGGTAAGCATGACAGCCATGGGTAAGGCCATGCTGGAGCAAGATCACTCCTGAAAGGACTGTGGCTGTGGGTAAGGTCACGCTGGAGCAGGTCTAGCTCTGAAGTCATTGTGGCCTGTGAAGAAGGCCATGGTGGAACAGGTTCACCTCAAAGTGGCTGCAGCTGTGGATAAGCCTATGCTGCAGAAGGTACACTTCTGGAGAGACTGTGGCGCATAGGTAAGTCTCCACTTGGAGGAGGTACACCCCCTAAAGGACCACAGGCTGTGGATAAGTCCAAGCAGGAGCAGAGGGAAGGGGAGAAGTTCATCACAATGTTAAGCCCTACAATCTGGCCCAAAGGAACCAGGGGTGGAGACTTTAATGGAAATACCTTTAAACTGTTGTAACCCATGATTTGAATTGCATGTTATAGGAATTATGGTAGCAGGAACCACGTGAACCAATGGAAGAGAAGCTTTACGAGAACCAGTGCCAGTGAAGCAGTGACCCAACTTGAGCTGGCTTTGGTGCAACACAGCACCTCTCCTAGAATCATAGAATCGTTTAGGTTGAAAAAGACCTTTAAGATCATCAAGTCCAACCGTTCCCCTAACCATACCATCCCACCACTAAACCCTGTCCCTAAGCACCTCATCTGCCCGGCTTTTAAATACCCCCAGCGATGGGGACTCGACCCCTCCC